GTCACAGACAAAGTTAACTGTGTTAATCTTGTTGTTAAGTTGTACTACCAGTTTCACACACATCCTAGTGACCTATAATAATTACATGTTATCTGTTAGGCTGATATGCTGTTTATATGTGCCACAGTGATTAGTTGTAGATTGGAGGTGATTATCAATCAGTTTCTCTGTTAGAATGTCAAGGTTATGGTTTTACTGTAGCCTTCAATATGTGCGGCATTTACTTCCTAGGCATTTGTAGATCACCTCTTTACAGTAAGACATTTCTAGAGTCTTGAATGCATTGTTAATGTGTGTTTTTTTAATATCTACCACTGGTACAGATAATACACATTCCTACTCTAGACTTGCTTTGCTGTGCTGTATGTTAAGTTTCAGTATCAGGTTTATTGTACTCTATATTTAAAATATTTTTACTGCTTTAACTTGTGACCCAGGACCAGGTTATCATAGTTAAAAAAAAAAAAAAGTAGTGTAATGAGGATACAACCACTTCATACACCAGACTTCTGTAACACGATGTGCATTCAACTTGAGTCAGCTGTTACTCTCCAGCGCCTGCACAGCACTACAACAAAGTGTGGAGATGGTCTGGTGATATTTAATTTTATATTGAACAGAGGATATAGTTTTATATAAAATATGCTTTATGAGAAGTCATTTTTTCCACATAATTATTAGAAATTGCTTGTAAAAAGGTGTTTGCTAGGTACAAGGGTCCAAACTAACTGTTTGCTGTGGATCAAGACCAGTAACTCCTGTGTGCGAAGTAACATTACTTTAAATGACTCTGGTGGCTTTGGAGAGAGATATATAAACACTTCAGTCTTCTGTCAGAAGGGCTGTATGATGGTAAAGTAAAGCAGAATATTATGTGGTCTTTTTGAAAGGTGGCTAAAATAATAATTTGTTGCTGCCCCTGTCCGTGTTGGTGCTTCTCCAAACTGGGAGCGTGCTGACCGCTGTCTACTGTAGGTAATACACTGACTATGAATGAGTACTTCATACAACCCCGCTTAGAAAACCCCAAACTATCCCTTTAATATCCAATTTTTCAGTAACCTCATTAACATTTAACATAATTATATACATTTGATGTTAAACTGTAACTCTTAGCACCTGTCACACAAACACTCTCTCGTCACCTAAAACATTTCCCCTGTAAACATGGCACTTAGGACCAGGTCGGATACAGGGCTAATATTAAACATGTATTACAGCTAGAAAGAAACATAAATACACGTTAGATAATTTCTTAAAGTTATGTACATTTAGGTGAGCTGCTTTCTATATACAGACGGGACACAGCAATCACAGGATGTGCAGCAGGATAGCTCATTAACTGAAATGCTGAATAGCAAGAATCTATCTGCTTTGTATCGCCTCAGATCCCATTTCCACGATGATATTTGCTTCCACAAGCGTTTGACAGTCACACTGTTGATTTGGCCTGATAATAGTGGAGCTGCTTTGCTATATTGGCAGAGTAATTTTATAAAGGATACTGTGTAGCCTGGCGCACTAAATATACCAGACACAGCTGGTCATATTAAAACATCTTGTGGTTAAGACCAGACACTCACCTTATTGTCAGCTACATCATATGAGACTGAGAAGTTGACCATTAGATCGGCATAGAGGCACAACTTGCCGTCTTTGTCTTTGACGTTCACCTCAGTGCCATGTGACAGCTGGAACACTGAAATTACACAAAATGAAAATTGACTCAGTTTTTTTCTACTGTAATTCATTATTAGTCCAGTTAGGTTTAAAAGGTTACTCTCTTCATTGAAAGTAAAGGTGGAAAAGAACATGGAGACTCCTGGAAACGTATATAAAGTCTGACTGTTCCTGAGTAAGAACCAACACATGTTTAGGCAAATAACCACCCGGTCAGTAAGACCATCCTCCAGCACTGGATGACCTCCACACTGAATGCCATGTATTAAAATCTAACTTGGCTCGGGCAATCTCCAATTTAATTTCAGGTACCTAATTCAATGTACAAAAAGCCATTTCAGCTTGCAAAATAATAATATTCCACACAGCTACTTTTACCTGTCACATACGTGTATTTATTTCTTGTGTATGCAAAGAAATCACATGACCCAACGTTTACTAAAGAGGACAACAAGAAAACATCTTAAAATGACACTATACTCTTCGTAAAACCTTTTCAGTCACACTCGCAACCAAGCCCTGTACCTTTCCACTGGCTGTAAGAAACTGTATACAATTTAAAGGCGAGAGGCCAAGGTCCATTCAGATTGACTAAATGTTTGACCGAATGCATTGTCATAAACTCACCGACAGCTGCCTGCCACAATCTTCCAAGTAACATAAACTTATAAATCACCTAAGATGAACTCAAACTCACATTTGTGTGTGACCTTGCTATAAAAACACTACGTGGTTTAACTGCGTATACACAGTAAACCCCCTCTGATGGACATCACGCAGTAGTGCTCTTTGAGCTGAATGTTTTTTTTATTCCTAGGATGGTGAAGGCATCACATGGTTGTCCAATGATCATGCGTAAATAGAGTAAGAAGTACTGCTTTTTCATTTCAGGGTCATTTAAGAACAGTCCTTACTGCCTGAAGTCAAGCAGCAAAAGCAGAGTGACAATGTGCAAATACTACAGACACATTTTGTGGTGAAACAAACGTCCTTCACTGTATGGGCCTCTTTACAATAAATATAAAAATAAATAAGTATACCCACTTCTCCAGGCACCACTACACCACTGAAAACAGTGTATTTTTCACTGTAGGGCCAGGTCCTGACACACAGACACAGTTTGTGATAATGTATGATAAAAACATTGTATGGTAATAAAAACATTGTATGGTAATAAAAACATTTGCAGTGATAATGTATGATAAAAACACTGGAGGAGAACTTTCGAGAAAAACGACCCAACTATAACCTTTAACCTTTGTGTTAACGCTAGCTCACCATCGCACCCAGTGAATGTAACATTATCTACAATCCAGTTGATTCCCTCGGGATAAATAAAGTAT